AACATTTAATATTTATGCACATAATTATTCCGTGTGAACTCTATTTAGAAAATCGCAGTACATTTTTATAATTATCTGTGTTCGAGACAAAAGTAACTGATCAAGCTCTTATCACTTTCAATAGGTATATGACCGATGACATAATTTCTTCATCGGTTATACCGGTATTGACACTATTATGGGTTCAACTACCAGACCACACCTTAGTTAATGCGACCGAAAAAAGAAAATGGTCTACAGTAATAAAGTCTGGATTGCAAATCATTACTACAGAACGCGAATGTACTGTAGTATTAACAATCTTTTTTTTAAATAAAGCAATTTTCGGAACGAAATTAACTAGTGTTAACTTCGAAGCTTTAAAGTTTAGGCGTTGGCTCCATTCGGTTGAATTTTAGAGTCATTTGTTTTCCTGACAAGAGACCATGATATCATGTGCCACATTCATTAACATTTTAGCTGCAAGCCTTGATCAGTTGAAGAAACTACCTGTATTGTCCTTCAAGTTTACTGAGATGTAGTAAGCTCATCTTCAGCAATGAAATACACAACTTCCAGTATATTGTGCAGGGCTTACTACTCTTATTAACTTCACATTATATAGGATAAAAGGCCCATAAACGCTTTAAAACTCATTCAAAATGGAGTGCTACGATAGTTTCTGAACTTTTAAAACATGGATTCAACTTTCAAATTTAGATACTGATCAAATATGTGAACCAAATACGTACACTTGATGCTCTGTATGTCCTGGTATTGAATAGATTGATGCCAAGTATTAAGTGGATGATGAACCAACTATCATGTCCTATTTTTAGGATAAATCAAAACAAGCTGAACTTCAAAATATTATGATTAAGACTGCACTAATCAGTACAACCCTCACAAGCAAAAACAATGGACGGGCACCTCAAAGCAAAATTTAGATGCTTCCAACGTTCACTACAATTTCCTTTAGTCTACTCGTGTGTGATGAATGTACATCGTTTGCATTTGTGAGATTCCGACGTTTCTTACTGGTATGATCTCGCTTATATCTACTTCCAGACCAGAAGACACAAAAAACCCTTGCTGGTGTTGATAACACGTCTATAGAACGTCATCCATAAGTTGCGAAATACCCTACCGTTTCTTAGGCCCCAAATATGTTGTCAACACAAATGGTCTCCCAGGAAATTCTGCTATCTACATCCATTAGCGATATTCGCAACTGGCGAACAAAGACGTATGTTACACACCGCAAATGCAATAAAATAGGTTTTTCTTAACTCTAATCGACACTCCTTCCGCATAGAACTTTCCAACTGGCCGCTTTTTTGCTCTTAAGTGTTGCTTTTGATGTCATGAGCAACGATGAAGGAAAACGAACTCCAGTTTGCCATCCTTTAAATTATTATGAATAACCATCTCCAGTTGAGTGAGTGTCCAACTTTTGTGGATACCAGTGATATATATATATATATATATATATATATATATATATATATATATATATATATATATATATATATGAGATCTATGCACCTGACAACCTGTGACAATTTGAGGTTGTTGTCGATCTATGGAAGTAGGTATGTTGCATAATATATACCATATGATGTTATTAGATGACACATTAGGTGGTGAATGGAGGTGGGTTGAACGACACAAAGCCGGAAATTTTTTATCAGTATGTTGTATATGTTCATTGGTGTGGTCATACGAGAAAACCAAAGGGCCATAGACAGCGAGTAAAAAAGTATATAACATTCATCACCATCACATCTTTATCGATTAAAGTTTACCTGCTGTCAAAACACGTTTCGCGTGCAGTGTGATGTCATTTGGTACATAATAACTCCACCCAATATGATACACGACTAGCCTTTCAATAAAAAGTACCTGAGAAATGGTGCGTGGTTCGGGAGATTAAGTGGTGATTGGTTGCAAGAGGCTATGCCAATGACAACAACTGGGAGTGCTTTTGAAGTTACTTGCATCGATTTGAAATGCAATGCTAACACAGGAAAGTAAGTGGAAGTGTTCTGTTTATCTGATTTCATTAGGCGTAAGTTCTTCCAGCTAATCGTTAAAGATACCAGTGGACGTATATCATCAATTACTTTTCCTTGGACAAACGAAGAAAAGAATTAAAATGTGGGTGGATGGCATGTAGATTCAGAATAATCATGACGGACACAAGTCATACGGAGACATTTATAATATATTGCACGAGACCCATTTTACCTACGATGAAAAAATCGGGACAACAGTTGTTTCCAAGATACTTCTTTTTTCTAGACGGATTGATATGGATTAATGTGTAGAATTATGGTGTATTATGATATCAGTACTGTTGTAATAATACACCTAATCCTAAAATTGTAGACTTGTCATGATATGACTGCCTAATCTATAAGATCTTACGTGTAAGTCACATCATCGTCTACACCAACTCAGACAAACAAAGACTCACAGCATTCAATATAAGATAATAGAAAATATAACGCCTATACAAAATAAGGAAGTGAATGAATACTTGAACTATACTGTTTTGGTATATGCTTGGTTGTTTGAAGTCAACTCTTAACAAACCAATCTAAGCTATTACAAATGTTCTCGTTTAAAGCAGACTAACATGGGAGTTGCGAAAGGTCTTCCGTCAGTTTCAAAAGAACTCCGCTTACTACGATGAGTTTATATCACCACTGCCTGATTTATTGCTGAAATCAAAAAGCGATACGTTGCACCGGGGGGTTACATGGCAAAAATGATACATCAGGGTCACATCCTTTTGATTCCTCCTGTATTGCACAAGTCCTAAGCTCTCAACTGCAACTCCTGTGAGCTAATTACTCTACTAATCGTTTTCAAATTTCAACATCTAACGACATTAACCGAAATGAAAAATTAAATGAGTCTGTTTACAAACTTATGAGGTTCACTCCTACCTTTCAATTACTGTGATTGTTTTCAATAGACTATATAATACAACAACCGACTACGTCAAACTATGGAAGCATCGCAATTTTCGTTTCATTTGAATTAACATGTCACTCAAAGTAGCTGACTATGGATAATGAAGCCGATAAACGGAATAACGAAACTGTAATCAACCAACGCTTATCTAAAAATTACAGATGATACCGTTTCAGGATTGAAGACTACGGTCATTTATGACTCTTTTAAATCAACTACGACTATAATTAGTTTTTCTTCAACCTAGATGAACGTAAATACGATCGGCTTTCGGGTCTACGATACACATTATTGATTTGACAACGTTGAGTATATCTCAAGTGGACAGAGCCTACGAAATAAACTTAAAACTACGTAATATGACCAAGCAAACATAAGTCTTGTTAATACGCCAATAATAGCTTCACCAGAAATATGTTATCGAAAAATCAAAAATGATGTCAATTTGAAGCCATGAGCAGATACCCCTGTATGTTTACGGAGACTTGTTGACAGGTTATGCACCATTTAAGCGTGAGTACCAAAAGTTCCGTAATATCTGTGAGAAAACCATAGCCAAATTCCGTACCACTTACGAACGACAGTTAGTATATGATAGTCGTACTTGTCCAAAACGATTGTTTTTGTATGTTAAACGGCGAATGAAACGTAGTGATAGTATTCCCTCGTTATTGTTACACTAACCTCAAACCTGGTAAGATACCGGGCCCTGACGGGTTACATCCACAGTTGCTGTCATCTATTGCGGACATTATTTCAAAACCGCTCGAGACATTCTTCAACATGTCCCATTCGCTAAACTCCCTAGAGATTAGAAGGACGCTATAGTCAGTCCTATATTTAAGGACGGTCAGAGACAGATAGTATCTAACTACTGGCCTGTCAGTCTAACTAGCATAGTCGTTAAGTTACTTGAAAAGATAATTCGGGCTAGGTTGCTAAGCCACATAGATTTACACAATCTGTTAGCTTCTGAGCAACACGGATTTCGTAACAAGCGTTCATGCTTGATTAACTTGCTTATTGCGAGAGAGGATTGGACAGCATCCCCTATATAACGGCCTGTCTGTCGATGTTATATTCATAGATTTTAGCAAAGCATTTGACAAGGTTTCACACATAGGTCTTATGCAGAAGCTCGCCAGCTTACCGTTGTTGCTTAGATCGTCGACATTATTGTTTACGGATGATGTAAAAATCTGGAGAACAATAAAACGTGCGGCTGATCATCTGGATCTTCAAGCTGACTTAGACGATTTAGTTAGATGGGCTCGAGAGTAAGGCTTAAAAATCAATGCTAAGAAGAGTGTGCTAACGCACATCGGTCACGGTGATAGTTACCGTTATACTAATGAGGGTAAACCTCTACCATGTGCTCAAGAACATAAAGATTTAGGAGTATTAATAAGTCATGATTTAAAAATAACTACGCATTGCAAAGCAGCCGCTGTCAGTGAGCGTTCAAATCTTTTGACGAGGAAACGTTTCGAATTTTATATCCTATATACGTAAGACCACATTTAGAGTACTGTATCCAAGCATCTAGCCCGTGTCTGATTAAGGATACTAACTCCCTTGAGCGTGTCCAGCGTGTGAACAAAATTAGTGAAGGGTCTTTTTAGACTCTCTTACGATGAGCGTTTAAAACGCCTAAACCTTTTCCCCTTGTTGTATCGTAGGACACAAGGTGACCTTATACTGGCATTTCGTATCTTTAATTATGATTTGGGTGTTGATATGTCTTATCTTTTTGCTCCCTCCAGCACTAATAATCCCCGAGGTCATCGCAAGAAGGTTCATAAACCACGATCTAATAAACTTAAAGTGGGGTCCCGTTTTTTCATCGAATAGTCAATGATTGAGACGCCTTACCCGAACAAGTGGTATCAGCCCCATCAGTGATTATTTTCAAGGAGAAGCTGGACCTTCACTGGAAAGCAATGTGTCAGGATTAATACATGTTCACCAACCTACTATCCTTATTACTGAAGACTGACTTTGTTTCTGTTAAGCAATGATAAGCGTTGCAACTTTCACCGCTTGTTTTAAGAAAGTTGCGGTTAGGAATGGTCTCACAGTAAGTGGGCGACGTGTGTATAAAATCTACCGTTTACCTGTAAATTTGTTCTCCAAAAGCTTGAAACCTTCCATTTACTTCTATTTTCAGAAACTGCATAAGTGCTGCCACTTTCGCTACTCAAAAAGCCAAAGTTGATGAGTTGATGAATGTAGATATAACAAAAGGAGACTTATGGTAACGTGTTTAGCTTGTCGCTATTGTCCACCCTAGGTATATCCTGTCTCTTAACTGGTGGACGAAGTGGGAGGAATTTGTGGACTCGGTTTCCAAAAGTGGGATGGTTGATGAAACCTCGGAAGAGTATCCAGGAAAAGTTGATAACAGTGATATTTTATGTAGGATTTTGTATATATATATGTCTTATATTAACGTAGGTGATGGAAAATTAAAAGAAAACTTGCTCTTAGAAAATGACATCACGTTAATACCTAGAAATGTGTGGAAGCTGTTTGTTGATTTTTATGGTTGTACGCACTCAGACATTTCAGTCTTCGAACGGCGTGCCATCCAAGCTCCAAAGTCAGCGGAAATCGAAATATATCCACCTCACTACTCATTCTACTTAAATCCTCCAAATTCAAGTGCCACTTTCCTGTTTGAAGGGACATATTGCAAGTTTCAGACAATAAGTATGTGGTGGTTTTCCTTAATTACTTTTCAGGAGAACTTAAACTGATAGTCGCGCAACATCTTAAAGCAGCACCTGGCGTGAATGTTCACTTATCAATACACAATGAGCAAAATGAGTTTGAAGAACTAGAAGATGAAGATGCTACCATAGAAGAAGCTAACCTGGAGCGTGAAAAAGTAAAATTTCAGTGAGCTTTTTGATACTTGTAAAAAAGTAGGAACATTTCGCTTAGTAATCGTGGTTGCAAAGAGCATAATTTATGGACCGATATATTCAATTTCCAATTGTGATATGGTTTAAGTAGTTGGCACCTTAACTTGTAGTTTTCTATTCATTTCAAGAATACCAGAATATTTGATAGTAGCAGTAATGCTTTAAGTTCGTTCCAGGTTTTAGCAATTCCGTTTAATATAAAAAGTTACTTCGACAATGTACCCTCAGCGTTCATTGTTTTTCGGGATCTAGTCGGAAACTTACTTTTTGAGCCCCATAAACGTTATCCTTAATGTTCATCTTAACGTGTAAAACCCGTTACCATCTGTCGACTTTTAGATTGACGTGCCTTGTAATCTACAGTTAGTCTTAGTTTTCATATTCATTCTATTGTGCATTTAATGGGATTAAGAAAGATGGCTCCAGTTAATGCAGATAAGTTTATCAAGGCTATATTGGTTTAGAGATCGTGATCGTTGATTTTGTTTCAGAATATCCTAGTAATGACTAACTCTGATCAAATTAGTCAATAACTAACAAATATTCAAAGCGGTAATCTTAACTCAGACAAGCTGTTTATTTTAAACTATATACATGATGTAATTAACTTCTAAAAATAAGACAAACGATATTTGTTGCTTTCTATTTACGAACCACCTAATGGTGTACACTATTTCTGTTATAATAGTCAGGTACACTACTGGGGTGAGATTGTTGTTTTCTCTTTGGAATATTGCTCAACTCTTAGGTAGACTGCCTTGTCGTCTCAATTTATATTGCTACTGTCCATGTAGAACTTCGGCTCATACTGGACTCAGCTTTCATCCCGCTTGTCACGGGTTCCAAACCTGCCCTACATATTTTTTTCGATGTCAAGTTGGTGTCGGTAGCTTCAACCCAATAAATATATCTCAAATCGTGAACGTGTCTTAGCTTGCTAAATGTGTACAAAACTACCTCTAGTAGACGAGGAGCTATAGTTGGTCCAATGTGTAATTCAGTTATTTCCATCTATTCTATGTCTAACCAAAAAGAATCATTTCATAATACTTTGTCATGCAACATGACCACTAGGAATAAATACACCGATCTGTTTATTTGATTCACAGTACTACTAATTTAACAAAACCATTGACTAAGTGGTTTCAAATATTTGTATGGGATTTCGCACAATATTAGTAAGTCAAAGATCTAGTTGCAAGTTACCAGCCATCAAACTACTTCACAAAAAACCCTATTGATTGATTAGTTAAGATCTTGGGTCCGACAACAGCTTTTATTTCTTATGGTCTACAAAAATGGGTATATACTGTGTGCCATTAAAGCTCGCAGTAAACCACTATTCCAACGGCTGTAAAATACTTGTGTATTAATCAAGTAATCTCTTATGCTCATAAATCTTGGGTTTCTTTTTCTTCTCAGGTTATTTTTGTTCATCTGGAACCTAGAAATGGAATACGCAGTGAGTAAGTATTAAAACAGTTTATTGCTCAGCCTACATTGTATATGATTTTAACCTTTCTGATTTTCCTTTATTATTCATTTGTTACTTAGAATTGACCCACTGACATTAAATTAGTATTGTTTACAAGTTACTGATCACTGGATTTGTAACTAATACTAAATAAACTATTCGAATCATCAGATTTCGCAATCACCGGTTAAGTAACTGTAAAATGTATGTATCAGGCCTATTGCACTTTAGTGAACATATTGATTTTTTAAATATACTGATAGGGATTTAGCTTTATCTCTTATTCAAATATAAAGCAATTAAGTGTCTGAATGTTTTTTCTTTTTTAGAGTTTAGGACAGATGATGCATTTAATTTAAGTTTGCTATGCTTAGTGCGGTAAAGATAGACTTTTTTAAATATATATTATTCTGAGTTCATATTAATCTTAATAACTGGCCTTATTTATTACTTAATAAATGAATATCTCACGTTTGTTTTCTATTGTATCAACATTATTCTTCTTTGGATGTAGCGTATGCGTAAATAGTTCACGTTTGAAGTCGAATGAGTCTATAGGATCTCAACCTGAATCTCAGATGCTGTCGTTACATGGGTCCGGTCCACCTTTAGTACCAGGAGTTTGTGGTCTCAATAACTTGGGAAATACCTGTTTTATGAATAGTGCTCTTCAGTGTATGTCCAATGTTCCTGCATTAACCAGTTACTTCCTAAGTGGTAAATGGAAGTCAGAACTAAATATACGTAATCCACTTGGATCTCAAGGAAGAATTGCTACTGCTTACGCAGATCTCATTAAGCAGCTGTGGTCGGGGACGCGAGCATATGCTGTGCCTCGTGAGTTTAAGGTATGTATTTCTTGATATCTGTTTGTTGTATGGCTTCTATATTATTATTGTATAGAATGTTCTAATGTGTTTATTTGAACTTAATTATACTTACGTCGTTTTATTACCGACCAGTGGTTGTTTGAAATATGAGTCTATGATTGTGTTAATTCTCAACGTTGTATAAATTAGGTTGTTCAAATTCATCTGCTCTTTAGGCTTTTATCCAACTTCACTCTATACATCATAATTAAATAACATCTGTTTCCCTAGGCAAATCTCTAAAACATTTTCAGGTAGGTGAATTATTAGTTTCACTGATTTGCTATCCAAAGTGAAGTTAATAATTAATGGTCATGTGGTTTTTCATTGAATAACTTTCTGTGCAAATGTGCAAACTAATAACAATAAGAAATTGCAGTTGCCAAAGTAACGAAACCCCTCAAATATTTGTGCTATTTATGTACATTTTAGTATCAAGTTTCCGCAGTTATTTCTCAACATTTCATCTGAATTCTAATAATCATTTATTTTTGTCCTTACGATGCATCCCTTCTTGTTAGAACATTACCTGTTCCTTAAATGCTACATGTTTCATCCAAAATTATAGCTTGTGATATAATGTTTACTTAACCGTCTAATGTAATTTGTGATTACTAAGTTACTATTATTTTAACTATCAGTCATTTTGGATCTACTGAATTTTCTATATGATCTTATTAATAAAAAAACGGTTTTGTCATTGAAATTTGCAATGATCTGTAGTTTCTGATTAATAGCTCCATTTACTCACAAACTTCGTGTCGCCATTTATATTATATATATATATATATATATATATATATATATATATATATATATATATATATATATATATATATATATATATATATATATATATATATTGATTTGTATTTAAATCTTAGATTGAAATTGCACGTATTGCTCGTCAGTTTTCTGGATATGCTCAACATGACACTCATGAACTACTTGTATTCTTATTGGATGGACTTCATGAGGACTTGAATAGAATACACTCCAAGCCTTATATCGAAGTGAAAGATTCCGATGGCAGACCGGATATTGTAAGTTTATTCTATTACCATGTTTTGTTTTTTGATTATAGTTTTCGCTTTATCAATTCTTAAGTCAATTGGAGTTAAATTTATTCTGGTTTTATACCACCATATCTTTATCAATCGCTAAAGCAGATCCGTCACATCCGACATGGAAAATATACATCTGATTTTTGAACAGTCGCAGTAATTGAGGTCTTCAATTATGCTTTAATATTTCAAGCATTCAATAGAAATTCCACACTTTGTAATCTTAAAATCCCTATTTAAAATTGATCTGGACTAGATAGAGGTTAGACTAACTACGTACATAAAGAGCCCCGGTTACTCGAAATGTAACGTTTTATTTTATTGGCTAACAATTCATGTAACCTCAAAACCAAATCTATTAACCATAAACTATGGGAAACCCAGCAAAGTATGTATTGGTCTAAGTTGTCACCCCCACCCACATCAAGATTAAAAGCAAAAAACTGAGATCCTTTCCATTAATGCTGGTGAAACTAGATCTAGGAACTTTAAGCTAGAGGACCTTCATGATATTGGATTGTCCGACTTGAATAGATTGTGGAATCTCATGCTGAAACAATAAACTTTCCAGTCCTCCATAGTTTTTGATAGTTGTGCATCATTAGTTATTCTGTGATATGAATTACATTCAATGTGAGTTAGTTTAATTGGAATTTGAAAGTAACAAATTGAATAATTCACAAAAGAATAGCATATCTATAAAAATACAAAGTAGATTCTAAAACTTTTATTCGTTTAATTAATTATCTGCTGTTTTAATTCACTTTTTACCTCTATTCTTCAAATTTTATGCTTCCATCTACACAAGGAAGTTGCAAATGAAGCCTGGGAGTATTACAAGTCAAGAAATGATTCCATCATTGTAGATCTTTTCCACGGCCAACTGAAATCCACCGTAATTTGTCCTACTTGTCAAAGGAAATCAGTCACTTTTGATCCATTCGCTTCATTAATTTTGCCTATACAAGAAGTATATAAATATTCGGTACGTGTTTATGTTTGGCCGTGGACATCCAATAAATCCCAACTTCTTCTATTAGAGTTAACACTTTCCACAATACCTTGCGGTCAAAATATTATTGAAGCATTAGAACAAGAGCGTCCACCTCTTCCAGGCTGTCAGGTAAATTGTTATTAAAGTCCATTGTAATCAAGTTAATCATAACAAAAAATCCGATAGTTATTAGGCAAACACCAATCGACAAACATATTAAAACAGACTCAGTTTATTACATAATTAGAGAACTACCAACAAGACGAATGCACTTCATATTGAAAACACGATTCGTCGAATTTAAGACTCATGATTTCAATCTGTGGAATTTAAAACTGTTGGTCATTTTGATAAATAATTTTAGAAAAGACGAAGCTTTTCAGATGTATACTACTTTTGTCCCTTACTATGTTTCAGTTATTGTACAATACATATTATTGAAACCTACACTGGAGTAGTAGTGGCACTAGCCATATATCTATTTTGTATACAGACCAATGTTATTATTTTACTTTTCAAACTGAATTAAGCGGAGCGAGTTTAAAACCAGCTTCTGAAGTGGTAAACACTCGGCAGCTTTCATGTTTATGTTGTTAAGAAAGAACGATATGACGTCCAGGCAGTGAATCTATAATTAATCCTGGTTTGAGTGAAAAACCTTGAGAAAATAAGCTTCAGTATAATATATATTATTAATGTAACAATCACTACTGTTGTATCAAATTCTTTTCGAAACATTTTATTATTTCTGTTCGTACAGTATTATATACCAAACAAATCTGTAGATCGGTCAAGATATGCCTCCCCGATCGTTTATGAACTGACTGAAGGTTTCCCGATTCCTGTACTCTGGACAAATGATAAGTAAGTGAATTCATAAAACGTCATTATTAAGTGTTACCTCAAAATATATCTGATCAATAGATTTTATTATGGCATTATTAACTACCTTAAAACACTTGTTTTCTTTAAAGTTCGATTCCAGCCTCCTCATTAACTTGTACACTACGATTAGAGCAACCATTTCAAAAGAAAATGGGCTTCTATTGTGTCAGTGATCTATCATCATCTGGATATAACCTTGTAGTGTCTGGTACGGTAAAATAAAAATGACATAAGCCACGTGAATGAATGTAATAATGGGGGAAAAATAATACGATGAAAGGGAATAAACTCACTTCGAGCAGGAAAATTTTATGCTGTTGTACTGGCTTCCTCGAATGCATCAGATTAAAGATTGAGTCGTTTGAGTTACTCATCGATTAAGTCAGCCACTTGGTCCGTTTATCGGATGCATAGAGTTCGAGATGTTCATCGTCTGCGTAGTTTTGCAAATTGTGCTTACTTCGAGTTGAGGCCTACTACTTTTGTAGTGGTATGATGATATTATCTATGAGGTTGTCAAAATGTACATTTCGGCTACCCTCGTATACATTTATTGACTTCAATCGCGTTAGTGAAATAAGTTCAATACGAGAATGCATTTCGGATGTGTATATTTCGTACACTCGTTGATCCGGACAGACAATCAGAAATGAAGCGGAGAAGGCGAGTGAGCAAACTCGATATTTATAGTTAGACAAAAATAAATTATAGACTGGTTAGGATAAGCAATACACACAAATACGCTCATATAAAAGCAATTAGTTTCAATAATTGAATGAATAACAAGGTCAAAATGTGGCTCAAAAAGAATTAACAAGTCGGTCTGTCCAGAAGCTAGAATATCCCACGTGGGCTTTGCGTAGTAAACACTACAACCTAGATAAACTATTAAATAGTTGTTCCATCACTTATGTGGTACCACCCAGTAATTATGTAACTTTGTATATTAATAACAGTTACAACTATATTAACCCCCTAGTTTCTTTGTTTCATGTAAATCGGATAAATACACCAGAGGAGCCCAACTTAGTACTCGAATACTTAAATAAATAAATCTCAACTCCGTGGGGATTGTATTGATAAAAATACAGAGTATTCGTCGTAGAATTTGTTTCGGATCATTTAATAAATTATTATTATGGTCATTTAATATGAATTTTTACGGGTGATTTCTCTTTAATCCTATTTCAGCATTGCCCAGGGTATCAACTTCCCTATCTATATTAGTTTGCCGATAAATGATGGTGTTACAGGAATGACCATTACCGTCTCGGAAGATATACTTATCAAACACATTATTGACCGTTTACATGCTATTGGTATAAATAGTGAACCGATCAGTGACACATCAAAGTTAGAGGACGAAAATACAGATAACTCAGTTGTTTCTTGTTCGCTAAGCAACTTTCATAGTAATTCCCATCCAGATAAATCTAATACAACCTCAACCGATCTCTTTGATCAATCGAAACGAACTACTGAAGGTACAATTGGCAATTTAGTCTCATTACTCAAAGGACGTTTATGTCTGAAGGATACCAGAGGGCATGATTGGTTAGCTCACTCAGAAAATGCTTTAATATCTCTCCCTTGTAAGTCGAATTTTCGCTTGCTTTGATGGATAGAAGTTTCTTTACTATTAGTACTGTGCTTAAACTCCTCAGATTTACTATACATGGATTATGAAAAGCAAAACAAGAATTACGTAACACTTTATGTAGTCCGTCTACATAATTGAAGTGTATGTGGGTTTTTTAGATTTTCTGGGACATCACTTTTGATAAATGTTACATCTACTCACGAATTGTAGTGTACCAGTTTGTAATAACCAGTGTTATTTATTTTCCTTCTCGCTATTTCGAATATCATAGTCAACATTTTTATTCAAGTTTAAATAATTTTGACTTAATGTTCAGACTGTGCTATGGATTGTTTGTGCACATTTTTAATGCATACGAAGTAAAGGAATGGGTACATTATTGCTCTATGCCAGCTAATTTCAACATTTATTAACCTATTTGTGAAAGTCAACGTTTAGCATTATGTTTAGTATGTTCTTTTCAAACTTCATATATTACAGCATCCTTCAGGAATCATTCCAATTTACTGTGATTTATGTATTTTTATCATGCCACGCGTATATAGCCTCTGCCAGGGAAGTCCTACTCACTGCCTTCTCGTGGCGGAGGTGTTGTTTACGAAAATGAGAGGACGAAAAGCGAATGTCCGGCGCTTTAACCGGATCACAAACCAATGATGCACATGGGTTCCAGTATCCTGCGGGAACAAATGGCGTATGAACCAATTGTTGGTCACCGGCTTCCATGGAACTGCATCTCCTTACGATGCTCCACTGCCTTGTGGATCAGACCCTCAGGTCGAAGGCTCCGGGTGTGGCCCCCTAAGAAAACCACCTGCTTCGGTTTGGGCACCCGGGCAGTATCACAGCCCTCACACATATCGAATGAGATTTTTGTGGCTCATATGTATTTGGTGCCTCCTTGTACCAGTATCTATGTGTTGAAATAAATAAATAATCATGCCAGTTTTTAATATCTCCAATGTTTTCCAGTTTTAGTTACTTTGCAGAATTGTTACTTTTTATGTGGTCTGTATTTTACTTAATCTGAAATATCTTAACTCTTTTGAAGTGAAGTTAGGTTGAAATACATCAGGAAGGTGCTATATGGTTTCCCAAATGTATTTTATGCACTCTTGTTTACTGCTTATTGTTTGATATTTATGTTCTTTAGAATATATCTTGACCGTAGTTCATTTTTATGATCTGTGTCAGGTCTAGTGACGTTGAGTATTAGTCAAGGAATACTACATAAGTAAAAACGTAACAACCATGTTAAGTAGTTCAGTACTAGGTTAAAAATTGCGTTAACCAAATAGTTAAATTTATAATTTCTCACTTCAAAACCAATCTGCATCTATATGAGTCCTATCTTGTTTTTCCGTTTCATGAGAATCATATGATAATTTAACATCTGGTTTTGTTTTCCAAGTCACAATCATATATATATATATATATATATATATATATATATATATATATATATATATATATATATATATATATATATATATATATATATATACCAGCAATGGTTGTGGTATTTTTCCTTCACTATTAATTTTGTGAATTGTTTGTTTGTATTTAGTGATCTAGCCGGTAATTGGAACCGCTTGCTTCGGCTAATCATTACTTATAGATTTTCCTGCACAACAGGATAATTTAAAATGTTTTATTGTTATAGCTTTTCCGTTCCCTGTTATGTGCATCACGTAGAAAGTTTGTATGATTATTACTTAAAGATTACTCACAGTTGGTACGAGTATATGAGTTGCTTTTACCACTATGAAATGTCAATAACCATGTGTAACGATATAATGTATCACAATTTCTTCCATCTAGTCAGATATTTCTCAATCAATTTGGTGTAAATCTATTTATTTTATTCCTTTTTGATAAAGTTTCTCTAAAACAACGCTGTAATATATATACTTTTTTAAATTCTGTTTCCTCTCCAGGTTCTGACGTTTATAGTATCATTTTAGACTGTCAAAGTTTAGAAATACGACGTAGACTCAATGACATTCGAAGCCATGTACAACAACATCCTGTCACACGACTTAATGAAACTCTGAAACTTTCAGATTGTTTCGAACGTTTTACTGACATAGAACAATTAGGCTCAAGAGATCTATGGTACTGTAGTCGTTGCAAAGCGGAGAAACCAGCTACAAAGAAATTTGACTTGTGGAAACTTCCTGATGTTCTTGTAGTACAATTAAAGCGTTTCCGATCTCATTTACGATTTCATGATAAAATCGATACTTTACTGGAATTCCCACTAACGTAAGTTAATTTTATTGTGAGTTTCTAGTGTTATTCAAGCTGTGATTACATATACTCGTGGACCTTACTGTGTGTTCTCTTCCTTTAATAACTAAGGTTTTATTGTAGTGAAGGAGAACACAGGTGAGAACAACCGATTTTTATGTTTAGCACAGAATTACAGAGATACTCGATATAATGGAAAAACCATACTCCAATGCTCCATTTGCTAAATGTTTATTAATTGTCTCAAACTTAATTGTTCTTGTATTTTTATACCAATTGATTTCTGTTCCTATTCTTTCCTCCTCGATCTTCTCAACCTGCTGTCAGACATTCTATTCTTAAGTAGGGTTATATACTACTTATGTCGACATAAGTAGCACACCACAGGATGTGTAATTCTCATGCAATAGGTATAGTGGCTACAAGATTATGTATACCTGAATTTTCGTTAACTTTATCTCGCGCCTAGTTGAAGAAACCATATTTGGATGTTTCTCTTATTTATTTATTGGGAGTCTAATCAAACTTAACGTTCTTGAAACATTTTAATGTTTTGTCTTACAAACCTGTTATTTCGTATATAGTATCAATGCCTAGGTTGAACTTGATAGCTTCAAATAAATTGAGCATTGTATAGAAAGTTAATAGTGAATATATTTTTGTTATATCCCAATGAGTAGAAAATTTGTATTTCTGACGCTTTATGACTTAATGTAAGCCACTTCTTCAGGGTAAATAAATAACCGAGATTACGGGATATAACAAAACAACGTATTTATTTTCAACTGTTTTTTTTGTAGTTTTATTCATTTTTTTCCAGCTCTATTTATTTACATGTTCGTTCATGGTTGAAAGTTAGAGGCGACCAAACCAAAACGTGGCATCAGTGCTTGAAGTCACTAACTTCTGGTCTGAGCCATATTGATAGATGCAGACCACTTGGTTGGGGTCCGCATGACTATCGCAACCAATGGTTGGAGACTCTGGGTGACATGGCTCAGAATCGATCACAGTGGCGTAGGTGTATACACTCTCTGTCTTCCCTTAAACTAAGAGATTAAAATCGCTTCATATCTTTCTTTCTACGAACTAATTCTTCCTTCCTGTACTATATCTTTATATGCAATCTTTTATATATATATTACCACCATTGACTTAACTACTCCTACGAATCTGGTGTTCATCTTGCTGCGCTACTGTGGTATGGCAACTTGGACCGATGCATATATGTGCCTGGTCCTACTTTGTAACTGGATGACTGAAATATTCATTCACATGTTATTTTTCTTAAAATAGTAAATAACAAGGTGATTTTCTTATTAAGTTACATATGATAATACAGTTTAACTGTAAAGTTAAGGCATAATTTAAACTAATTCATTTGAATTACAGTATACTTATTTTCCAAATAATTATAGATTAGGATTATTCATATCTGTTTATCATTTGACAAATATTAATTGTTTTATATTGTGTTTTCAGGCTAGAATTTAATTAGAATTCTTATAATACATTTTTGTATTTCTTTGCATTGTTCTTCAGGGGATCTCTCTAATTATTTACCACTTTCACTCTTCTCATTCACTAGAATGTTGAGTATGAATAAAATAGTTGATTTCATATTGTTTATCTGGTGTTTATTTCTTGAAGTTTATTACAGCGTATTATTATTATTAGTTGTTCACATGATTCTGAAAATTATCTTGGATAAATTTTTCTAACAGTCTTATTCTTTTTTAAATGTATTTTTACTTTGCTAAAATCTAATTGAACAAATACACTAGTGGCTTAAATTTGACTTCACGCGTACTTGAAAAGAAACCAGACGAGAAATTTATCTATGACTTAGTAGCTGTAAGCAATCATATGGGATATTTGGGTGGAGGTCATTATACAGCATTTGCTTTAAACGCTCACACTAATCGATGGTACTTTTTCGATGATTCTTCAACACGAGAATGTGATCCTTCCAAAATTGTAGTAAGTTGTATGTGTTTTTTTGAAGTTTTCGTTTCAATTAACTTTTATTGTTGTTACTACTATGTTTTTTACCTTTCTTATTTGTATTAAGGGTATTTAATGTGTATAATGTTTGGACATGATATTCTAGGGTTGAACCTCTTCAATTTATTAAACAGCAAAACAATACAATTCTTCATTTGATGGCCTAGTACCATGTAAACAATAAATTACGTTTGTTTTATAAAGACTTCAACTCTTTATGTATTTTAGCATCATTAGTCTACAATGCGTACAGTTTAACATTGTGTACGTAATTTGTTTGATCGTTTGTATATCTTTTCTTGTAGACTAGTGCAGCATATGTGTTAGTTTATGTACGCCGAAAAGTTGGCTCTACACAAATATACAGCATGATCAACAGTAATGATGAAGAACAAGAAGATTCTTCGTCTGAAACAGATGAAAATGGTCTTTCAAATGGTGCTTTATCTTCACATTATATAACTAAAGGTTGTTTGCAAAATAGTCGCCCTGACAACGCAAACCCATCTTCCAATCTTCAGGATCAAGATCTGATGGATATTGAATAAACGTCTTTGTCTTTTCTTTTTGTAGTTTCACTTCCTTTCAACTTAACCACATCGCTTTGACTTATGCAGTCACTCATGTTTTTATGAGTTTATGCATGATTACAATGTATGTTAACTTGTTCATTCTCGGTGAATCAAGTGAAGTAATGACATTTAGACCTTTTTTCTGGACAATATCCCATCCCCTCATCTTATTCTTGTTCTTCAGTTAACACAATTCTTTATCTCTCCAGTTACTCACTTCAGTTTTAATTTTGGTCACAAAAAGAGTTGTTTACTATGCAGTTTGCTTTTTGTCCCAATGAATGTATATTCACATCGCAGTAAAATAAATTCAAATCCTTATATTCATTTTTCACTGCAACTTTGGTTGGATATCTCATATTTTCAGTTGGTTGTTCACACCATCATATGCTGTTTAAGGTGCATGCATTACAAATTCCTTACATCTCCGGAAAATTAAATAAGCCACACAGTCTTCCATAACCCTGAAGCACATAAACATCTTTAGAATAACAACTTACTCACGTTAACCCTTGTGGAGGAGCATAGGCCGCCCACCAGCATTCTCCGTCCAAATCTGTCCTGGATAATTCTTTCTAGCTGCTGTTCATCCTATTCATGACTGCTTCCAATTCCCGATGCAGTGTGTTCTGCCTTTTCCTCTCAGGATACCAAGTTGGTGCTTGCCTCGTGATGCAGTGTGATGATTTGTTTCCGTAATGCATGTCCTATCCACCTCCAATATCTTTTCCTAATTTCCTCTTCAACTGGAAGCTGATTCGTTCTTTCCCACAGTAAGCTGTTGCTTATGGTACTCAGTCAACATACATTCAATATATTTCAAAGAGAACTTTAGAAATACTTGTACATGTTTGATGATAATTGTGCTAGTTCTCCTAGTTTCACCACCCTACAATAAAACTTTTGACGTTCATTTTGAAGATCTTGATATTGATCGACAGTTGTTTTAAGTTGCATATGTTCAACTGTAGGAATTCTGTCCTTCTGCCAATCCTCACCTTAACATCTATATCCAATCCTTTTTCATCGATAATGTTTCTCAGGAACTTGAGAGATTCCATATCTTCCCGAGTTTCCCATCAAATGTGGTTTTGTTGGTGTTCTTCATGTTTTGTTTGAGGATCTTGCTTTTTCTGTTGTGTGTACTGAGGCTTACTGATGCAGAGGCTGCTACACTAGTTGTTTTCATCTGCATTTGCTCGTGTATTTGGGATAGAAGGGCCAGATCGTCTGTGATGTCCAATTGACTCTGAGCTGTCCAATGTATTAAGTGCTTTCCCTCAGATGTGGTCTTCATAATCCATTCGACCACCAGAAGAAAGGAAGGAGAGTGGGCAGCCTTGTCTGACTCCGGTTCTTATTGGGACTATATCCGCCAGCTGCACTCATGCACGACTTTGCACTGTAATTGGTAGTATAACTTCCGGATAATGTCGACAATCTTAGGAATTCCATATTGTTCCCCTGTCCACACTCAATCGACTTCTCATTGTCAATGAAGTTGATGTATAGTGACAAGTTCCACTCAACTGATTGTTCGACGATGATCCTTTGTGTCGCAATTTTATCTGTGAACGACAAGGTACTAGTTTATTCTATAGTAATACGTAGGGTCTGTACGAGTATGTGATACTCTTCTTGAGTCTACTGTTTATATTCTTATAGGGCCTTTAAGTTATGAACCGTTTTCTTCGAACCTGAATGTCACTTCTTACTGAAAGCTGAAACAGGTCGCGTGTAGGAGTACTGTTAACCTAATAAACGATATTCTGAACTGCAGAAGTTTCCCATCCCACGGCCAGTCATCTCGAGTTGTATTTTGCTCTGCAAATGTCTATGCACGACTCCGAATATTACATTTACCATAAGTGCATAAATGGGGTCTTAAGATTTTATGGAAAACCCACAAATGTTTACTTTTTTTCACTGGAAGATATTAGTCTGATTAAGTACTCCTAACTACATTAGACATCCAGAGTTGAATATGTGCAGTTTATTTCGCGACGAAATAAAATAACACGACTTAGTTGTCTGTTGAGTCACTCTTCTACTAACCGTCCACGTTAACAAATAAACTCAATGGGTCTCTTCACTCTCCCCACTACAGTCATAATAGCAATAGCCGGTCGATATCAATGCTATGATAATGCATGAACTTACCTGTATTCCGAAATGGATATCAGCAAAGTTCCACTGTGGCATATAAATTTAGTACCTAACGGTGATATAACATGAACCTGATCTTAATTTAAAACTCGGTGTGGCCTTGGTTCGTTACCTACTGCACATTTTTACGTCACTGGGATACGTCTGTCCATCAAAGTAACATCTTAGTTTCGTAGCAGTTTAATAACTTGGTGCGTTTTCAGACCTCGGTTGTATTATTTTCCCGATATATCTTTCTTCTGTGGACCTAAGTTGTTTATTAACATCAAGATACTCATAGATACCCTTTACGATTAGGATCCCACCCATTGTGTTTTAAATTTACCTGTTGGAAAGAACTAGTACCGAACGTTTCGTTGTAGGCTATATAGAATCACTTTAGATGTTACAGAGATATTTTCAATATACTTTTTAATCTAGCCACTGACTCTCTAAGGTTATAATGAACAGAGTGACATGAAGATGAGCTATAAGCCTATCAATTACGGAGGACGCCGCAAATTAATATGACCATAATACTGAATTCTCAATATAGGACTCTCATACTACCCGGACAATTACTAAAGCTAATCTAATGAAAACAGGTGACAAATAATCTTTGCTAATGGACTGTCTTCTATGGTACGGTTAATTAATAAGAATTTAAGTAGTTTGCTGATGTGTTTTTCGAAAGTTCAAAGCAATGGAGAGCAGTTATCCTCACTAGATCTTGTAATAACGTGTCGTTTTGCACGTTCATTCGTAAGTTTGCTCAACTTGACCAGCATTCCACGTCAATCCATATTGAGACTGCTGATTCTCACATTCTAGTATTTGATTCTTCTACCGGTTTTTGTAACAGTGCACAACTTATTTGTTTATGACGTTCTTGTTCTGTCAAATATACGAAGTCATGCTATAAACTGCTAGTAATCTAGACTTAGTTCTTATTCATTCATACATCTCAGCGTTCTCGTCTAACGTCCTACATTAGAAGAACTACAGTTTAGCAATGGTACATTGATTTCTGTATCTTCAGGAGCAGAAACCGTACTAATTTGAAGCTTTCATTTATCAGTATTTATTGGTTGCCCGTATATTGCTAAAGAAAACTCACTTCGTTTATAACACTAGTGAACAAGTTTGTGTAGTAATGCAGACGTTTCCCTATATCGTTTTTCATTAAGTCTGGTCGATCTAGAAGAGAGTACAGCTTTTATTTATCCGCTTCTCCAACTTACAACAATCTGAACTATATAAAATGCAAGAATGTTCTGTACTGCGTCATCTGCTTTTGGTTTCAGGCAAAATGTATGGAACATGAGCGGATAGAAAAGAATTCATGGATTCAACACACGTTTCATAACTTCACAGTACAACCACTTGTCAATTTAAGACCATCAGATTTGTCTATCATCGCCAAGAAAATTTAGGATTAATTTATTGAGGTATTCATTCTAGATAAGTTGGTGTGAACTAATTTTAGCAAGCAGGAGCTAATCAAATTGGATGTTGTTAACCGTACGCAGCAAAGACCTTACCCACAATCACTGAATGCTTTTGAATCACTTACACAAATAGCCGATCATAGGAGTAATTAAATAACTTCACATGCAGCTGTTCATTGTCTTGGCTTCCCAGTTGATATAATTGTATTCTAATGCCTCAAGTTGAAAGATTCTTTCAGTGATGGAGAAACTTGCAAAATGATAACTATTATGACATATTAAAGGGAAAGACTATATTTTATGGACGAACCAGTCAGATTCAAGATAACAGGTCTTGGATTTTGGCTAAAAATTCATTCACCTATTTGACCAAATAGCGTTTGGTCATTTTAGCTGAAATCATTTCATGATGCAAAACCGTAAATCTAATCCCTGACCCTAAACATCAACTGCTATTCATGATCCTTATTCTTCAAACTGTTTTATAACACCCATTTAGCCCCAGTAAAAAGAGAGGCACACTCAATGTCACTTTGATGTCGCTCAATGGTCGTCCATAAATTATAGTACCATCCTAATGCATAATCTTACTACCTTATCATCACAACTATGGCTGTATCTAGACCAAGTATACTTGTCTTCTTATAAGTATTTCACGGACCGTAACAAACAAAATATAGACTTTAAACTTCATATAAGCTCCAAAATACACAAGATTTATATACGGATAGTGCAATTCATCTTTTCCAATCTACAATCAAGCTTCTTGTGTATTGTATAGAGCGGTTGAACAAGTAGAATGTAGAACACAAATTTCAACCCCCAACAGCAATGAAACCAAAAATCGTCCAGTTAATTAAAATTTCCGTCATAATATTAAATATCAAGCAAGATTTTATGACACATTGCGTTAAAACGCTGTGTGAAGAATTATGTCTTATATCTGCAACCGAAAGAACTGCTAGTGGTCGGTTACTTCATTCACTATTTCCAAAGCACGTATGTTCGTTTTCAAAACCTATCATAAAAGGTCGAGTTGACGGGAGAATTTTAGGGATCCTGAATGAAGAATCGCTCGATGGCAAGGATGTCTGTAATAAGATATCTAATAGTTCATCTACTGAGAAGAAAAATAACGACGAAACGCATAAGAGTTCAAATAGGTGTGGACGGGATAGAAGAAGCTTTCGCTTAACAGGCTTCCGTGTATAGTAGCAGCGGATCACAAAATCCTACAGGCAAGAACCTAGGTATGCTAACAATAAAAGAGGAAAAGAAATTAGTAAATCATAGTGTGATACTATCTTTAGTCCTTAAGAATAGATCAAGTTTCCTATAAAAAGGACTCCTGGGAAGCCGCTAGGACTAGCTCGGCCGGCAGCGAATTCCAGCATTTGACAACTCTTAAGGAGTAAAATTTGTGTCTACAGTCCGTTCTGCTGTGTTGCGTCTCCAATTTCTGGGTGTTACCTCTTAGGTTAGTGTTGGAATTAAGCTTAAGTAGGTGTTTGAGAGGATGTCCAGAAGTGTTAAGGATACTGTAAGCCATCAGAAGGTCACCTCTAAGACGTCTATACGCTCATGGGTAAAGGTTAAATGAATGGAGGCGCTCTCCGTAAGGTTGTAGTGACTCACTTTTATCACGAGAACACGATTGGTCTATTGGAAACAATTATTACTATTACCAATTGTACCAGTGACTGTTTTAACGTGCTTTTGTTTAACTGTGCTAA